GTCTGGATGAAGGCAGAGAATGTCGATTGTACGTCGATAGTGAGAACCGAGGGGCTCAATTGATTTTCGCTCTGGTCCCTCCTTGGGTTTCGATGCCGAGGCGGGCATCGGGAGCATTTTGTTGGAGCTGAAGGCGCAGGTCAACAGCAGCCTGTTCCAACTCAGTGATGACCCCGCCTTCGGGAGCCTTGTTAGAGGCTCCGGGGGCGTTGACTTCACCGATGGCCAGGTTGTTGTCCTCAAGGTTCTTGGACTGAGCACGGGTGGTTCTCCCCATTTTAGTAGATGTTTTTAAGCTGAAGGGGAGGTTTTCTTACTTGATTGTTCGACCTCTCAACGAGAGCACCAAATGATGGATAAGTGTACCCGGGGGTATCTATCTGAGGGGTTACCGCGAGGAATAATTAGAGAGAAACCAGAGCAAAAGTAAGAGAGAGAATATATATTGCTGAGAATGCGTTGAGTGTATTGAACCTGAATGACAAATGGAGAAAGGAGTGCTATTTATAGTAGTAATAAATGCCAGATAGGGACACGTGTCATCATTGTGGTGGTCAAGAGGTCACCTCAGCGGGGTGGCACTGTCACTCGCATGTGGCCGCATTAAATGCGGTGATTGGATGTGACGTCTGTACTTGGTACGTTGATCTGGCGCATGTGGGTGGGAGATTCTGTCGAGGAGATGCCCTCGGTCGTAGGTGTTTGGCCGAAGGCTCTTCATACCGGGGGCCCTTGGGTGCCGAGGGCTCCTGTTTTCGCCGCTTCCTCTCAGACACTTTGAGGGCTTTGAAGAAGCCGTACTGTTAGCTCATGAGCCTTCGGCCAAGGGGCCGAAGGCACCCCAGTGTTCGTCGTGGGCTGCTTGGCACTTGGGGCACTGTGATTTGGGCCTGGCATGCTTCCTGGGCCTGTTGGACTTTTGCTACAGTAGTGGGAGTCTATGGGCCCGGGGTTCCGGGGCCATATACTCCATCAGTACCCTTAAGGTGTCATACCTTTGTCCACATGGACCAATCAGAATGATGTAGTTGAATTATTTAAATCTAAATTAAAAATGATGTAATGATTTGAACCAATCAAGTGAGTGGTAGGTACGATACCTCATTTTTTAAATGAGTACCGGAGTTGTCACCTAATATTTATATGAATTATTAAAATAATAATGTCATTACAAATTTACAATGATAACAAACATAACGTGTACAATGAAATATACAATAGATATGAATAGACAGATTTATATTATATACTAGTTACGTTTCAAAAAACTTTGTCATTTTCAAAACTTTGAGCGACTATATCTTTTTTATTGAAAATTATTTACTCCCTCCGGTCCTAAATAAACTTCACATTTTGACTTCACACAAATTAAGAAAATAAATTTGACTTTACTGTATAGTACACTGTTTGGCACTGTTTGGCACTGTTTGACACTGTTTGACATTGTTTGGCACTGTTTTGATGTAGATAATTTGCCGAATAAGGAAGGGAGAAGAGGTGTGAAGTTTATTTTGGACCTACCCAAAATGAAAGTGTGAAGTTTATTTAGAACCGGAGGGAGTATAATATAAAAATTATATGAAAATGTTTTTTGTTAAAAGTACTTTCATAAAAGTATAAAATTTCTAATTTCCATAATATTATACTAATCAAAATCAATGTTCAAATTTTTTGAAATGACAAAGTTTTTTGGGACAGAGTAGTAAGTCAAATTTATTTTCTTAATTTGTGTGAAGTCAAAGTGTGAAATTTATTTAGGACCAGAAAGAGTATAATATAAAAATTATATGAAAATGTTTTTTGTTAAAAGTACTTTCATAAAAGTATAAAATTTCTAATTTCCATAATATTATACTAATCAAAATCAATGTTCAAATTTTTTGAAATGACAAAGTTTTTTGGGACAGAGTAGTAAGATAAACACGATCCTAAAAAATTGGAACGGAGGCAAACGTGAAAGTCCTAGTCAAAGTAAGGTTTATACTTCCTTCGTTCTATAAAAGTTACAACATTTTGAATTTCTGCACTATTCACACACCTTACTTTGACTACGATTTTCTAATAATATATATAATAAAAATATTGTGTATAAAATATTAATAAATTTGTATTAATGTAAGTTTCCAATATATTAACTTTTTTTAATGTTTACTAATACGTAAATAAATATAATTATAGTCAAAGTTGCACGTTGGCAAACGTGAAAGTCAAACTGTTGCAACTTTTATGGAAGAGAGGATAATATATTTTACCTATATAGGTTTTTTTTTTTAATTTTAATTCAGCCAGTTGACAAACTAGCCACATATATGGCCGAAGACCAGCTGCTCCATGAAGCGCCGGGAGTGCACGCTTTCATGCGGACCGCGGAACTAATCTGTCCATTCCAGACGCGTGGCTCACACCTGGGACCAGCTTCATTTGACTGCTGCATCAATTCGGCCCTTCTCTCCAGCGAGCCAAGGAAACCTCCGTCAATTTGCCTGCCGATTCCCACCCCTTGGGGTGCCATCCACCTACTTGTCACCCAAAAAAAGGATGACACTCCATCCCTGAGGGCCCCCAACCCCGATCGGATGCTACGTTGAGAGGATGTAAGTTGAACTATAATCCCAATCTGACAGATAGAGAGTGAGGCTCTGTCCCCGGTACTTGCAGAGACCATATGCATTTTTTAGCATAGTAACCTTTCATCGCAGTTTCCGGGATTCGAATCCGGGACCTAACCCTTGTGGCACTCCCTCGCTACCAGTTGAGCTACGCCCACCGGACCTACTTGGCACCCCAAAATACATGGTTTGTTGCATTTATATGGGTGAATAGATGAAATTTGGGTTATTCACAGGCAGGCTGCGGGCAGCCTAAGGGAAATAAAGACATGCTTGTTGTATACTCCCTCCCTCCCTCCGTCATATATTAAAAAAATAAATTTTTGGTGGGTAAATTTTACTGTTTTGACACTGTTTGCACACTGTTTAGCACTGTTTGGCACCGTTTGGTACTGTTTGACACTGTTTTGATGTAGATAATTTGCCAAATAAAGAAGTGAGAAGAAGTGTGAAATTAATTTTGAGACATCCATTTAAGGAAAGTGGAAAGTTGTTTTTGGTATGAAAGAAGAGTGAAGTCATTCTACGCACCGATCAAAGTATTTGTGCACATGTATTTTGTTTTGTTCGTAAATAGAATCGTTTTTGCATCGTTAAAACTGTCGGTCCATAAAAAACCTTTCTCATGAAAAATGATTAGAAAACTTATCTTCTTTTTTTGATAGTCAAGGTGTCGGTGTTTGCGCTCTCCTAATCCTGGAGTCTATTGACTACCCTTCAATGCCTCTAGACAGTCAAATCTGAATATTATCACAGACAGTCTTCGTCGGTACTAGTACCACAGGACGAATTCAGCAGGACTTCCTTTCAACTGAATCCAGAAGGGTCCTCCTACTATGTAGGGATTTATTTCATCTGTTTCCAGAAGGGCCCTCCCACCACGCGAACTCACGATCTGAATTCCCATCTGCTCCCTTCTAAGCCGTTGTGCAACTCCGTGAAAGTAAGAAGAATCATTGGGAGCAAGACCTTCATCCTCTCCCCTAAGTGTGCCTAATAAGATTCGAAATCGAGACCTCCGCTAGGACATGGTAACCTCCCATCTAGTGCGCAGGAATAGTTGGTTTGATTAGAAAATGAGTAAATTCCCTAAACGAGACTAAAAGAATAGAAAAATGCAAAAGTAGGATTAACATGTTTTTTTGGACTTTTTAGGACTAAAATGTAGTAGCTTGACAAAATTACCCTAAATATTAAAACTCCAGTCTACATCGCAGCAAACCATTCTCCTATGAACTGCAGTTCAGCCACCGACTATGGTCTCGCAAGTCGCAACGCTCCTCCTCCTCCTTCTTTCTTCTTCTTCTTCCCCTTGTGCACTTCTTCCCCCTCTTGCACTCTGTTTTCTGTTTTTTTTTTTTCTATTCATCTATTTCCTTTTTAAATTCTATTTATTGATTTGGATTTTTTGGATTTGAATTTTATGCATGCAGAAAAATGTCACTTTTATAATTTGAGAATGTCAAAATTATTGGTTATTTGAAAAAACTGACACGTTTGTGGCAGTATATATATCAAAACAACAATCTGAAAATGTCACATGTCCATAAGAAAATGTCATTGTTATGACATTTTATGACATTTTTATGGTATATCTGAGAATGACATAACTGAGAATGTCATATTTTTATACGAAACTTGGGATTTTGATATTTTCAGATTTCAAATTAATAAATAAAATTCATATCCAAGAAAAAGAAAAAAGCAGAAGAAGTAGAAGAAGAAAAAGAAGAAGAAGAAGAAGAAGAAGGAGATGATGAAGAAGAAAAAGAAGAAGGGAAGAAGATTACCTACCTGACTTGGCTGAAGAAGAAGGGAAGAAGGGGGCTGCGTTTCATAGCCGGCAGATTGGTTGCGTTCAATCGCAGGCGAAGGGCTGCAATCGCAGGCGAAGGCCAGGAGAGAAGTTGTAGATTAATGGGAATAGATTAATCTAGCAAAATTGTAATTTAGAATAATAAATTTAATGTCCTAAGAATTTTGACAATTTTTTCTTAAAAATTTTATCTATGCATAGATGGTAGAGCTAGCGTGTAGACGAAGCATGGTTCTTCCTTTAAATTTACTCCATGGTAAAAAGTAGTACGTCCTTACCATCTCTGAAACTTGTGCTCATCATCAGCTTTTGGTTGCCGGGCACGGATACCCAAAAACTTTGACGTCCTTTTCTTGTGAAACAAAACCACTGATATGTACAAACGCTTTTACGCCGCCGTGTATATGAACCGCCATTAAATATATCTTCCGCCATCCCACTTTTCGCCCGGATATGGACCACAAGCTGGCTGCCTTGCTGCCATTGTTCACGGCGGTTTCCTTGATTGCCGCCTCCCTTACGGCGGCTGAGTACGTTAGACCTGCGCCGCGCAGAACATTGAGTTTTCCTCGGGATGACTCCTCTTCTCAAGCTCAACAAGTAAGTTATAATATTGAAAGCTCAAATTTTCAAAATATAAAGAAAATAAAAGGCGATTCTCGTTTTTGTTTTTGTGAGATTGCCATACTTATTCTGCCTCGTGGGGGTATAAGTGTTTCAGACGATATCTTAATTCCCGGGAAAGCTATGCCTACAAAATTACAGACTCAGAGAGGAAACAGGGTTAAACCCTAAGATTGTGATTTGAGCTCTGTAGTATGCAAAACAGTAAATGATTTTCCTTTTGCCGTTTTTCTTTAATCGAAGTATGGTATCTTATATCTGTGTGACTTTTTAGAGTGATGATCTCTAATTCTCTGTGTAAATTAGCGGATACCTCAGAGCAAATCCATCCATTAAGTGATGTATATGTAAACGTTGTATTTTCTGAACCTGTGTGTTGAAATTCTATGGTGCATTTCCGAATTGACTGCAGGTTCACATATCCTTAGCTGGGGATAAACACATACGAGTGTCATGGATTACTAGTGATAAATCGTCTCCTTCACTGGTTGAATATGGAACATCACCAGGAATATACACCCTAGCAGCTGAAGGAGAAAGTACTGGGTATAAGTATCCATTCTACACCTCAGGGAAGATACACCACACGGTGATCGGACCACTGGACAATGACAAAGTGTATTTTTACAGATGTGGAGGAACAGGTCCCGAGTTTCAGCTCAAAACTCCACCTTCCAAGTTCCCTTTAACTTTCGCTGTGTCAGGCGATCTGGGGCAGTCCGAATGGACCGTCTCGACTTTAGACCATATAGGCCGATGCAGCTATGATGTTCATTTGGTACCTGGAGACCTTTCCTATGCTGATTACATTCAAAGGCGGTGGGACACATTCGGTAAGCTGGTGCAGCCTCTGGCTAGTGCAAGGCCATGGATGGTGACCCAAGGGAACCATGATAAGGAACACATCCCCTTATTTAAGGAAGGGTTCGAGTCTTATAACTCGAGGTGGAAGATGCCTTTTACAGAAAGCGGTTCTTCTTCAAACCTGTATTACTCATTTGATGTTGCCGGAGTTCATGTTGTCATGCTTGCTTCTTATACTGATTATGACGAGCACTCTGATCAATATCTTTGGCTGAAGGTTAGTTGATTTCTCAAGTTAATCTTCAATAGAATTGGCAGTTTGGTAGAGATCACTCAACTGGGTTATCGTATAATACAGGTGCTAAATCATGCTAAAAGATTGAGTACAATCAACTATCTCTCTAGTCTAGACTTGTATTTCTCACTCTAATATTTTAATGTAGGGCATGCTGAACACTTCTCTCCTTTTTTCTTTTGGTGCTAACTGAAGGTGTTTCTAACCCATGTGGCGTTAAAATTATCTATAGGCTGATCTTCTCAATTTAGATCGCAAAAAGTCGCCATGGTTAGTCGTGCTATTCCATGTGCCATGGTGTAACAGTAATGTAGCCCATCAAGGGGAAGGAGATGACATGATGGAAACAATGGAGCCTTTGCTTTATGATGCCGGTGCAGACATCGTGTTTGCTGGCCATGTTCATGCTTATGAACGAACGGTATACCTAAGTTTGATTTTCTTTGCTTTATGGTAATTATTATGTAAATATTTATTGCAAGATTTTTTACTAATTGGTTCTCGTTGTGCTACCAGAGCCGAGTCTACAATGGCAAAATCGATATATGTGGCCCTGTCCATATAACCATAGGTGATGGAGGGAACAGAGAGGGCTTATCAACCGAGTAAGCATTGTCTTGGGCCATAAGCTTGCTTTTGAGGTTCCGCTAACATGCTCAATAAGTTCCTCTGGATAACTAACTTGAATAAATGTTTGCATTTAAAAAACAAAAAAAAAACAAAACATATTTCCCATTCTTCAATCTGTAAGCCCAACCTTTGCAAGTGTTTATGAATTATGAATTTCCATCTATGTTCTTTACATTGACCCATGCTGTATCCAGAACATTTTTAAATGAGTTTGGGGCCATATATAATGCATTGAGAAATTGTTATGGCAGTTATAAAGAACCACAACCAGAGTGGTCTATGTTCCGTGAAGCTAGCTTTGGACACGGCGAGCTCGTGATTGTGAATGCAACTCATGCATATTGGAGTTGGCATCGCAATGATGACGATGAACCAGTGAAGTCTGATGAAGTGTGGATGACTTCATTGAGTGCTTCAGCGTGCAATGACGTAGGCGGTGGTCATTAATGGAGGGAGTTCGGGTGGCCCTCATTCTCAACAATCAACCAAAGTGTCCGTTCATCACATAGCTTACACAGAAAGTCAGAAAGGCAGTAGTTTGGCATGTTCCAACCTGCTCCTTGATGCGTCTCTAAGGTTGTTTAGAATCACCTTTTTTAAAGGTAATTTGTAAAAATGGACATATAGGGGATGTTTGGAATTGATTCTGCTTCTGCTTCTTTTTTAAAGCAAAAGCAGAATCAGAATCAGTTTTCAGAAGCTGTTCACCCCCAGCTTCTAAAAAAACTGATTCTAGGAGTAAATTAGAGCACTTCTGGTTCTGCTCCCTGAAGGAGCAGAAGTAGTTTTAAGAATCAGATCCAAACATCCACATAATTCACATATGACATGTAACATACTATGTACGGACTATATGATTTATTAGTAGTAGTTTCAGACATGTGTGGCTATATATTGTTTCAAGAATCCTACAGTCACCGTTCTTTGACTTAAACACATCCTGTTGCCTTATTTTGACTGATGGTGCAAAACATATAATTTGTGACTGAACATAGACTTGTATCATCACTTTTAATTATAAATGATACTGCCTCCGCCTTATTTCAAGATCCTTGGTTCGGTTGATCCTTGGTTTGGTTTACAAGGGTTAAAAGATGATAGTATTCCCTATAATGTGTGTATCTGTGTGAGTACAACTGTACTAGTATCAATAATTACTTTCTATGTCCGGATAAGCAAAAAGTAAATGAATGTTAGTAACACAAAACTTTCTAAAAAAGTGATCTTCATTATCCCAATGTCGCAAAGGCTCTCATCTATAGTGGGGTAAGAGGGTTCAGATGTACGCAGTCTTACCTTTGTACTAAAGTACTGAAAGACTATTTCCGCATGACTCATAGTCTCATAGTAAAAAACGTGTTGAAAAATACATGGATTGATTGTTGTTTTACAATAAAGAAGCGTAGACAGTTTAGTGGGTCATTTTGCTTTATTCCATCATATTCTCTAGCTAGAAAATAGTGAATCTTTGTCATTGCAAATGATAGAAAAAAGCAAATAAGAATTTTTTGGGAGATCCCAAAATGGTAAGTGGAAAGAATCTTATGGGTTAGATGAAATAATAATTAAGCATCACATATTTGGAAACTACTATGTATTTTAGAAGTTCTATTGAATCACAAAAAAACTGGATTTGAATATGATAAAAATTTACCCCTTCCCTTCCGTCCCTTAAAGATCATCCTACTTTTTTTAGGGTTTTCTTAATTGAAGCTATTTTTCTTTATTTGATAAACAAATTCTTATCAATATGTTCTACTACCTTTAAATAATAATGATATTTGTTAAACAATACCAAAACTGTACACACTATAACAATATATCCCCAGGAAAAGGCCATTTGAAGAAGTCAAAGTAAAAAAAAGTCATTTCAATAAAATGTCTATAATATTCAAACTATGGAGTTCTTTAATAAGCGAAAGAATCAAAGATTAGAAGAAACTTAAGGATAAAGGTAGACTCGTGTCTTCTTTTTTGGATAGCTTCCTTGTTGAGAGGTTTAATAAATGCTCCTTGTGTTATGCTAGCTATTGGTTCTTTTAGAATAACGTGACCATGTATAAAATAAGTAGAAGTGTTTTAAATTAAATCAATTGTATTGAGATTTATCTTTTTTTCAACATTTATAATGTTTGATTTGAGAATTGAGATAATATAATTTAAACAAAATTCTTAGGCATAAACTACACACATGCCAACTAGTGCCTTCACAGTCACAGTAGAAATAGCCACTGTGCATTAAAATCTCCACGATCATATATTGTACTCATAAACACTTGAAAATTCAAGCATTTCACATCTCATTTTTATTTACAAAATTTACATTAAAATTATAAACAAGTCTTTACTTTTAGTATAATACACACAATTTACTAATGCTGCAAAATGTAATGGAACTCCTTCCCATCGATATATTTTATTGCTTAAACAATCACAAAAACTTGTACGTCATTATACCTTTACTAAATATGGAGTACGTACTACGGAGTAATTACTAATTACTAGGATGTTTTTTAAATAACAGTGATGGAGTATATGGTCCAAGAACTTCCGGTCCACATACTTCCGCTACAACAAATCAGGCCAACACGTCCAAATGGGCCAAGTCCAGCAAACAAGACTCCATGCAGCCCGTAATAGGCAGGGTGTGCCTTCGGCCCTACGGCCGAAGGCTCTAAATTCTAGGAAACAACTTGAAGGGGACCTGCAAAGCTTCTGGAAATTTCTGGCTAAAATGTTAGCCTTCGGCTATTTGATGCCCTCGACTTTATATAGCCTTCGGCTATATGATACCTTCGGCCACATGATGTCTTCGGTCATATGATGCCGACGACCACACGTAGGCCTTCAGTATACAGCAGACTCAGCGAAGATTCCTTTTAGAGACAGTCAACCACCGCATTTAATGCGGCGTCACGTCTAACCATCGCATTTAATGCGGTGCACATGCAAATACGAGTGCCACCCCGATTGAGGTGACCCTCGGCCGTCGGCCCAAGGCCACCCTTTTAATGAACAAAAGTTTGATCTATCCCGTGTGCGAAACCCCCGGTACCAAGTACCAGGAAATTACCTACAGGACAACTGTACCTACAAACAAGAAACACCAAGTGTTTGCTGCTAAAAAATAATAACGCCCTCGGTACCAAGTACCGGCGGAGCCCTCGTCGATTACAACGCCAAGCGTTTTCGACACATATTGAAGCCCTCGGTACCAAGTACTAGTAATGGCCTCGTCGGTTAAAACACCAAGCGTTTTACACTACCCCACACTTCATACTCCTTCTCTCTTCAAAAAAAACCGAAGGCGCCCCCTATCGGTCCCGGAGGCACCAAGTGCCCCCAGCCATTTGCAACTAATATGCAAATAAAACCCTTCCTTGAAACGCTTTCCGAGCCATTACCCCAAGGGAATGACAGGCAACAGACTATGTCTCGGGCCCAGGATTCGACTTTCACAAACGAAACGCTTTCCGTGCTATCTCCCAAGGGGAACAAGCAACAGACTATGTCTAGGACTGAGGGAACGACTTTCAAAACCGAGACGCTTTCCGCGCCATCCCCCAAGGGGAGGCAGGAAACAGACTATGTCTCGAGCCGAGGAAACGACTCTCAAACCCCTCGGAATCCGTAAGGTTAAAACCAAGGGGGGAGCCAACAACTTATATCGTTGCCTTCCGCACAGACCAAGTCTTCCCAAGAAACCAAGTTTCTTGAAGCCTCTCATCACCCTTAAAAAAAGAAAAAAATTGGCCAACAGAACACCCTTCGGCAACGGAGGGGTGAAGGTGTAACAACCCGACCCCGTAGGCCCCGGGGTAGTTACTCCAGACCTCCAGTACTGTCCTCACAAATCGCCACTAGCCTTTTCCGCGCACTTTGTCCTCACTCGTGCGCGCCCTGAGAAACTTCCCTGGGGTCACCCATCCCAAGACTACTCCCGTGCAAACACGCTTAACTTTGGAGTTCTTGGCTAATGAGCTCCCTTAAAAGGAGATGCACCTTATTTGTATGAGTAGTACTATTAATCCGTTTAAATTAAATCTCAAGTGTTACAATCACCCTCACTTAGGAACACAACGTCCTCGTTGCGCCCATAAACCAATCTCAATCATATCCCAGAATCTTTTCCCCTGCTAAATGTCTGCCCGATATCCAACGGATCAGCACACTATCGCAGGGTTGCTCTGATACCATTCTGTAACACCCCGGCCCCGTAGGCCCCGAGGTAGTTACTCCAGACCTCTAGTACTGTTCTCACAAACCGCCACTAGCCTTTTCCGCGCACTTTGTCCTCACTCGTGCGCGCCCTGAGAAACTTCCCAGGGGGTCACCCATCCCAAGACTACTCCCGTACAAGCACGCTTAACTTTGGAGTTCTTGGCTAATGAGCTCCCTTAAAAGGAGATGCACCTTATTGGTATGAGTAGTACTATTAATCTGTTTAAATTAAATCTCAAGTGTTACAGAAGGGAAGTAGAGTCAACGAGCAATCAATGAGAAAAAGTTTCACAGTCCACAACGGAACACCCTTCGGCAACAAACCAGAAGGTTTCTTTCAAGAAAACCGGAAGTCCGCCTTTGATTATTGGTCGTTATTCTGAAGGCTCCTATGCAACAGGTGTTGCTAAAATTGGCCAAGTCCACACTTTGGAAGCCTCCGGCACACTCACTCCACACCGGGGGGGCTAATGGTTACATGTGGGGTTGGAAAGTTTAGCTAAGTCCACATCTTGAGGACCCTTGGGATACCAAATAAGGAAACACCGAGGGCACCTACTCTCATATATGGGGCTTAAAATTTCTAAGTCTACTTATTCCGAATGCTACCATTCAACAGGTGTTACTAAAATTTTACTAAGTCCACACCTTGGGGACCCTCGACACACCAACCAACACCGAAGTGTCCTAAGTCCACATTTTGGAAACCAGTACCGACGGCTACTACTTTACACCCATCGACATTCCAACAGATACTGAAGGCTTCTATTCTACCGACGAGGAATTACCGAGGGCATCTACAACATTTGGGAAGTCTACAAGGACCTGGAACATCTCCTCTTATGTATTGGGCTTAAAATTTTCTAAGTCCACATTTTGGTGGCCAATACCGAATGTTTCCACCACATGATACCGAAGGCTACTATGCTAACAACCGAGTTCGAAATCGACTAAGTCCACGCTCCTGCAGTCAACAACGAAGGCTCTTATCCTGCGAATGACTTAGGAATTTGCTAGGTCCACAAACCTGCGGCCTATGGCATCCCAACAGTTACCGGGAGGAATGCCTGCCATCGCAGAAGGCTAATGGTTCATTTACACATTGAACGAATATGTTTCTAAGCCTGATAACTAAAGGAGGAAGTTAACCGAGGGCCCAGTGGTAAGCATTACTTAGAAAATTTTCTAAGTCCTAAACGTATGGCCCTCGGTCGACTCATGATATAGACATACATTCATAAAGCTGTGAAGAAGGCATAAAGGAAAGCGAAGGCATCAACAACATATCCATTCACAAGATAAAGAGTAAATTGTTTGTTACATAATGGCCGAAGCTGGAAGCTGAGAAATGTTATTACAAAACATTGTTCAAAAACTATCTAAGTACAATCATTAATCAACACCCCTGGGGTCAGCCTTCGAAATCACATCCTCCCCGGCCTCCTCCTCGTCGTCCTGCCTTTCTTGCATCAGTACGGAGTCCTCGAGGTCCAGAGAGAATAAGTAGACGGAGAAGGCATGTAAGTCTGTAATAAAGGCATCAGAGAGAATAACAGGTTAGACTAATTTTTGGTAAAATCCTTAATACATCCGATTTTTATGTCAAGTCAATTATAGTTAGGGACCTAACTTACCCCGAGACATTTGGGGCCTGTCATTCAAATTAGGTGAGATCGTCACGCCCTGCCTCATGCACACAATGTGCGGGTTCAGATGTTAATATTGACTCATATTGCCCTGCCCAAA